ACTCTTTGTTTTGTTATTTTAGTGATTACTTTAGGGTTTATAGAATATACCTTTAATTTATGAGTCTACCTTCAAGTTATATCACTTCATGTATAGTACATGAACCATACATAGTATACTTCTGTTTCTTCCTTCCTTGCCTTATACTATTGTTGTCATACATTTTACTTATACATCGTTATTATTTTTTTAACTTTCAATTACCTTATAAAGAGATTTAAGTGGAAAAATGATACATTTGCCTATGTAGTTACCTTTTCCGGTGCTCTTCATCCTTTGTGTAGACCCATATTACCATGAGGTATCATTTTCTTCTACCCAAAGGTCTTTCTTTAACATTTCTTGTAGTAGTTCTGCTGGTGATGAGTTTTTTCAGCTTTTGTGTGTCTGAAAAAGTCTTTGTTTCACCTTCATTTCTGAAAGATATTTTCATTGGGCATAAACTTCTAGATTGACAGTCTTTTCCTGTTATTACTTTAAAGACATTGCTCCACTCTCCTCTCTTGCATTGTTTCTGACCAGAAATCTCCTGTCAGATTGTTCCTCTAAATGTAACATAATGTGTCATGTGTGTGTGTATCTGTGCGGTAGCTGCTAAGATTTTATCTCTACTTTTGAGCAATTTGATTATGGTGTGTCTTGATACAATTTTCTTCACGTTTCTTGTGCTTGAAACTTCCTTGAGTGGATGCAGTTACTTGGAAGCAGTTTGATGCTTTTGCATCTTGCTTTTAATACTTGATGGGGGGACCAGGGCTGGGTTTAGTTAATGCAAGACCCTTCTGAGTTCTCTACCCAATGTCCTGTGAACTAACTATTAGGTTTTCCAGTCTGGTTGGTAGGAACAGGCACTATGCCTGGCCCTGTGTGTATCTGGGTACTGTTCCCTCTAATCCTTTCAGGTGGTTCTTTCCCCAGCTTTGAGTAGCTTCCTCATATTCATACATTGATTATACACCGATCTGCCAAATTTTCAAGGGGGCATTCTGCAGATCTCTAGAGTTCTATCTCTCTCTGCAGTTCTCTGTTTTCTGGTAACCTATCCTGCAAATTCTAGCTGCTTTAGTCTCCCGAACACTCTGCCTCCTCAGCTCAGAGAGTACTCCCCGCCCTACGTCTTCCCTCCCTGCACTGTGGCCTCTCTCAAGGCAATAAGCTGGGACAAACTCACCTCATGTGTTTGCCATCTCTCAGGGATCACTGTCCTTCATTGCCTGATGTCTAAAAACTTGAAAACCATCATTTCATATATTTTGTCTAGTGTTTTAGCTATTTCAACCAGGAGGATAAACCCAATCCCTGTTACTCCCTCTTGGCCAGAAACTGAAGTTCATACTACAGTCTAAATATTTATCCTTTTATCCTCAAACAGAAATAACGCTTTTTTTCTGATTAAAAATCCCTTTCAGTGACTCATTAAAGAAAATCAGATAAAAATACAAGAAAAACTACAAGTTACCAGTAATCTCATCACCCAGAAAAGACACTCCTAACCTATTCGTTCCATGAATCTGAGACCACACTATCCCAACACTAGCAAATGTTTGTCAACCGACAGACTTTTTTCTGTGTTGACAATAATTACCATTTCATATTGCACTCTATTTGTTCAACAGATATTTATTGAGCAGTGCAAGGCTTTGGGTGGAAAATGTATTAAGCATTTCAGTTGAAATAATTTTCCAGTAAGCTGGAATAAATCCATTTATGGACATCCATTAAAATATCAATTTCTGAATATTAATGTAATTTGGATTAAAATAGCCTGTCCTAATTAAATGTACTTTTAGGAAATTTTATTCACATATCACTTTTATTTAGAAAAATTTTTGAACTGATTGGAATGCTCAGTAAAGCCTCTCTACCATCCTCAGACTCAAATCTACTGAGTGAGCTGTTTGAATGAGTATCTGTTACATAACAGAGTTATCATTAACCTTTCCTTCACTATCACTATCACTAACCTATGCTACCTATGGGCTTCATTAATATGCTTCTTGCCATTGAAGTTTCAACTTTTACTGCTGCATTCTGAAATGGCAAATACAGTTTTCAGAGGGAGATAGCACCACGTCATTGCTGACAGTGAGTTCTGCTGTGTAGTTAACCACGTGCTGCTCTGCTATGCATCTTATTGTAAGTTGTCATGCAGGGGCCAAGGGAGTTCTAGAAGAAACCAAGAAAAGTATTCTTCACTTGTTATTGCAATGCATTTTATCATGCTTTATTCCCATTGCCCATCTCACCTCACCTCAGCCCATGCCTTTGCAGGTGGGAAGTTCTTAGTTTCTCTGTAAGCACTAGGAATCATAGGGTCTACACAAGATGCCGCACAGGTGCAGCATTTTAATCCTGTAGATGTGGCAGAAGCTGTGCCTGCTCTGCAAGGGATGTGGCCGGGCCATTGAAGCTTCCAGCAGCTGGGCCGGCCTGGGGGATCCAGAGTAGACAGGAGCCCTGGGGATGGCAGACACCAGAACTGAGGTGTTCACAATTGAAGGAGCCAACTAATCTGTCCTAGAATTTGGTTGCTGCATCGTCCACAGATGGGCTGGAGGTCAATCTCAGGACATTTGTTAAAGTATAAGAAAGAAGAAAATACAGGGCAAGCTTATGAGTATGACTATGGTCAGAGCTTTGTACCAGAGAAAGCAAGGTGCTTGGAAAATGGGAATTGGGGTGATGTAGAGAGTGAGGAAGCTGACAGAACGTCGGCTGAGATAGACTAATGAAGAGTAGTGACTAAACTATCAGAAATTCGGGTTGGTGTGCCAAGGAGCCAAAACAATAGAAAGGCCAGAGAAGCGAGGCGCAACAGCTGCAGTGTTCATATTCAACATTTATGGAGCACCTGTATGTCTGAGGTCCTTAGTTCATGTCTTAGCTTATCCACAGATGACTGTGAGGTTGGTATTGATACTCTGAGTTTACTATTAAGGAAACTAACATATGAGATATTAAGTGGTAGAGCCAGTTGAAACTCAGATCTGGCTGAATCCAAGTCCAGATTCCAAGTGTTTTCCCCGCTAGTCCATCTAGAGCTGAGAAGTTCTCCTGCGGGATGCATGGGGTAACAATGCAACCATTTTAGCAGCTGACTCACAGCCTTCCCTGAGTGAACAGTTGCTCCGCTGGAAACCCAACAAGAGTGTTATATTTTACTTTCTTTAAAAGTAAAAGTAATATATGCACATGATAAAAATTTCCAGCAGTACTGAAAGATGTAAAATGAACATTTGTTCTCATCATCATATCCGTTCTTCGTCCCAATCCCACTCCCCAAAAGTCACAATTCCTAACAATGTTTTCAGTGCGTACTATGCAGAGTATTTTTCTGATCCACAGTAGCATTTAACATACCAGATGGTCAGGAGATTCAAAACCATGCCATGCGGGGTGTAAGTGAAAGAACTAAGAAGGTTTACTCCGCAGAAGAGAAGGCTCTGACGGGGCAGGAGTGCTGTCTTCAAGTGTCTAGAGGACAGTCATATGGGAGAAGGCTCCTGTTCCAGATGACCCCAGAGGTCACAGTTGGCACCAGTGGCATGGACACTATTGGAGAGGCAGATTTTAGCTCAGCGAAAGAAGAACATAGAGCCATCTCAGTAAGGGGAAAAAGCACCTCGGGAAGGGTAAAAAGTACCTGCAGGAAGTATTTAGACAGAGGCTACATGATCACTTAGCAAGGACATGCTAGTGATAACAGAAGCATCAGGGGAAGGTTTTCAAACTCCAGGTCATGAGCGTGTGTGTTAAAATCATTTTAGAGGAACATTTTTAAACAAATGGAATAAAGTACAAAACACTAGAATACATTACATGTAATGGTATCAGTATTCTTACTGAGACTTTTTATGTATGTGTTGCCTGTATACTGGGTTGTAACATAAAACATATTTCTTACTGCGAGTCATGGTCAAAACACTGGAAAGCTACTCCCCTGGGTGACTACCAAAGCACCTTCTAGCACTCACTCTGTGAAAGAGGTCTGGACGGTGAGTCTGCAGACCTGGGTCCTCCCCTCATTCCCACAGTGGAACTCATTATCCTTCTCTGAACTTCAGTTTCCCCATTTGTGCAACAATGGTTAAAGCCATTTAGAACTTTAGATGGAGTGGTCAAAGTCTAAAGGCCCTTCTAGTTCTAGAATTTTCTATTTTAGGAACATTCATTTATTCAGCAGACATCACTTGAGCAGTGCCTTCTATGAGCCAGGTACTGTTCTAGGTGTGGCGATACAGAGGCAAACAAAACCGACCAAAAACAAAGCTCCTGCCTCTCATGGAACTTACATTCTAGTGAGGATAGACAGTATGTCCGTAAGTGAATTATGGTGAGTGTTAGACAGCAACATGTGCTAAGTGCTTAAGAATAAAAAATAAGCAGAGGGATAAAAGTATCAGAGAGAGGGTTGAAATTTTAGATGGAGTTGTCAGGGAGTCCTCCCCTAGAAGATGACTTTTGAGTAAAGACCTGGTGGAAATGAGGGCACTAGCCATACGGATATCTGGGGAAAAGCATCCCAGGAGGAGGAAACAGCAAATGCAAAGGCCGTGAGGTGGGAACACGTCTGACGTGTTCCTTGAACAGCAGGGAGGGCAGTGTGGTTGGAGGAAAGTGAGCAAGAGTAGTGGAAGATGAAATCAGAGAGGTAACAAGGGGCTTGGGGCAGATCATGCAGGTGAGGACAGAGTTCTTTGGAGTTGCCTCCAGTTCCTTTGGAGGCTATGGATAATAATACCTACCTTCACACAGTTAGGAGGATCAAGTGAGATGGGAATGTGCTCTCAAAACTAGGAGATCCTGTACAAATATGACCTTATTACCATTTTGTGCATTACTGTCAATGGAGCAAGTCAGTGGCCATGAGGGAAGCCCAGCTCTCCACCTCAGGCACTCCCAGGCCTACACTTTGGAGGGTGCAGTCTTCTGGTATACAGCAGATCTCTCAGTAGTGGTTGCTCTATCAAGAGTCTAAGAGTTTCTTGCTTTTGATTTAGAAATTCCATCACCCAAAGTTAAGCAGTCTTCATCGGGAGAACTTCATCTGGAATCTGAAAAATGTTCCTCTTCTGGAGAAATATTTGTATGCCTTGGGCCAGAATCGAAATCGAGAAATTGTCAAACAGATCATTCAGCTGTTCAAGGATGAAGTAATGAGCAAATTAAGTCATTTTCGAGAATGTGAGTATTTCTCCAACCAAACAAGTATTTTTCTTGATATTTAAATTGTCAAATTTCAAACCATCAGAAAAGTGTGAAGGCACAGCTTAGCTTTATCAAATCTTAAAATTTTCCCATATTTGCTCCTGTTTGCTTTTTAAATAATAATACTTTTATTTTCTTTCAAATTGCTGCATTTGAAGCCCCCTCTAAACTTTATATGATTCCACCTCTCCTCTCCCTTCTAAATTTGCATACATGTTTTAATTCATTACTACTTATGTATTCATTCATAAATTATATATATAGCAGTGTTTTGCATATTTAAAAACTTTAGATAAATGGTATTATTCTGCAACCTTTTTTTTATTCAACTTAGTTTTTCAGATCAATCCATTTCATATATGTAGTTCTAGTTAATTTAGTTCATTTTTAATAGTATTCCATAGTAATGTATACATCATAATTTATTTGAACGTATTGTAATTTTTTGTCCATTCCCTTTTTAATGGAATTTTAGGTTGGTTCCCATTTTTTTGCTGTATAAATGATGCTGTAACGAGCATGCTAGTACACATCTCCTTATGTACATGTACAACAGTTTCTCTAGAGCATAACCGGCTCAGGCCGCCATAACAAATACCATCAATTGGGTGGCTTAAACAACAGAAATTTATTTCACACAGTCCTGGAGGCTGGGAGTCTGAGATCAGGGTGCCAGCAAGGTCAGGTTCTGGTGAGGACGCTTCCTGGCTTACCAATAGCCACCTTCCCTCTGTGTCCTTGCATGGCAGAGAGAAAGCAAGCAAGCTCTCTGGTATCTCTTCTTATAAGGACACTAATCCCATGATGAGGCCCCACACTCATGACCTCATCTAAACCTAATTATCTCCCAAAGGTCTCCCCTCCAAATACCATCACATTGGGGGTTAGGACTTCAACATATGAATTGCGGGGGGGGGGGGGGGGGGGGCAGGGCACAATTCAGTCCACAGCACGCACTTTGTGTACACACAATGTAAGGTGGTAACATAAAAGTAGAGTTGCTTTTTTTCCCCTTCAAAACTCTTTCCCCCGCCTAGTCATCTTCATTTCCTTAAAATGGTATCTACCATTCACCTAGTTGATCTGGCCAAAACTCTAGGAGTCATCAGCCTTGACTTCGTTCTTTCTCTCACACCTCATATCCCATCAAATTCTATCACTTCTAACTTCAAGACATACCTTACTTCTAACCACTTTCGCCTACCTTTACTACTTCCACTTGGTCCAAGCTACCATCCTTTCTGACCTGGATTATTGCAGTGGCCTCCTAACTGTTCCCCCGGCACCCATCTGTCTCCCTACAGTATATCTTCACTTGTGTTCCCTTTTTTTTCCCTTATTATTTTTGTAAGATTCTCCACATTGTTGCATGTGGCTATAGTTTAACTTTTATTACTGTAGAGTGTTCTATTCATAAATATACCACACTTTAGCTATTCTACTCTTAAAAGATATTTGGGGGCGGGGGGTGGCCCTGTGGTGTAGTGGTTAAGTTGAGCACGCTCCGCTTTGGCCCAGGTTCATGGGTTCGGATCTCAGGCACGGACCTATTCCACTCATCAGCCAAGCTGTGGCAGCAGCCCACCTATAAAGTGGAGGAAGACTGGCACAGATGTTAGCTCAGGGCTAATCTTTCCCAAGCAAAAAACGAGGAAGATTGGCAACAGATGTTAGCTCAGGGCTAATCTTCCTCAGCCAACAAAAAGAAAGGTATTTGAGTTGTTTCCAGTTTTGGCCTATTAAGAACAGTGCTGCTATGAATATTCTTGTCTCTTGATATACATGTTCATGAGTTCTTTGAGTCTATAAGTTCATGAGTTCTGGGGTAAGATTGCTGGGTTGTAGGACATGTCTATATTCAACTTTACTAGATAACGCCAAACAGTTTTCCAAAGTGGTTATGTGACTTTATACTACTACTAGCAGAGCATAAGTTTTCATTGCTCTACAGCCTTGGTATTATCAGACTTCTAAACTTTTGCCAATCTGATGTGTGTGTAATGGTTTCTCACTGTGGTTTTAATATACATTTCCCTGTTTGTTGCCCATTTGGAGAAACTCTTTTGTGCAGGGCCTATTCGTCTTTTGCCTGTTTTTAATATTTTCGAGATACAAGTCCTTTATTGGTTATATATGTTACAAATATTTTGTCCCATTCTGTGGCTCATCTTTTCACTCACTTTATAATGTGTTTTGGTGAACAATCCTTAATTTATTGGTTTCAAATATATAAATCTTTTACTTCATGGTTAGTATTTTGTGCCTTATACAGAAATTTTTCCCTACCTTGTGGTCATGGAGATATTCCCCTATATTATCTTCCTATAGTTTTTGCCTTTCATAATAGGTCTACAATCCATCTGGCATTTATTTTTATATGGTGTAAATTTTTCTTATGTCTGATAAATTTTCCCACCAACACTTATTGAAAAATCATCTTTTCACCCTTTGTTTTGCAGTACTACCACTGCTGTAAATCAAATATGTTTTTGGACACTCTATTTTATTCTGTTGGTCTATTTGTCTATTTCTGCACCCATACTACACTGTGTATCAGCTAAGCTAGGTTATGCTACAGTAACAAATAACCTGCCAATCATTGTGATCCAAAATAACAAAGGTTTAGTTCTAACTCAAGCTGCATGTCTCTCACGGATTGGCTAGGGCTTTGTTCTATGCATTCTCACTTTGGGATTTAGACTGATGGAATGTCACCAGCTGGAGTACTGCTATGGGATGGGGAAAGCAAATGTAGTAAATTGCACACTGACTCTTAAAGCTTCTGCCCTGAAGTGATGCCACTTCTGTTCATATGTCAGTGGCCAAAAAAACACCACTTGGCCAAACACAAGTTTTGCGGGGGCAGGAAAGTGCAACCCAGCATGTTCCTGGAAGGGAGATAACTGGCATAGTTGTGAGCATCCCTAAAGATTACCACACTATCTTAATTTCTTTAACTTTTTTTTTCTTTTCTTTCTTTTTTTTTTTGAGGACGATTAGCCCTGAGCTAACTGCTGCCAATCCTCCTCTTTTTGCTGAGGAAGACTGGCCCTGAGCTAACATCCGTGCCCATCTTCCTCTGCTTTATATGTGGGACGCCTACCACAGCATGGCGTGCCAAGCAGTGCCATGTCCGCACCCGGGATCTGAACCAGCAAACCTTGGGCTTCCAAAGTGGAACATGTGCACTTAACCACTGTGCCACGAGGCCTGCCCCAATTTCTTTAACTTTTTAAGCCTTCATATCTGGTAGAACATGTCTTCCCACTTTCTTGTTCTTCTATAAGAGGATCTTGACTATTTTTGTTGAGATTTTGGCTAGATTTCATTGAATCTATATATAAATTGGGAGAAAATGGATATTATAGTATATTTATACGATTGAGTAATCCATGAACATTGGTCTCTTTATTTGGATCAATAAAAGATATGCATGATGAAATTTTTAGTTATCCTTTTACTGTTGATTTCTACATAATAGCAGTATGGTCAGAGAACATAATTTATATCAGTGTTGTCCAGAATTTTCTTCATGATGGAAATGTTGTATATCTGTGTTGTCCAATACAATAGCTTCTATGTGGCTATTGAGCACTTGAAAATGTGGCTAGTGCAATTAAGGAACTAGATTTTCAATTTTATTTAATCGTTTTTTTTAAATTTTTTTTCAGATGTACATCATATTTCAAATTCTGTATACATTACATCATGTTCACCACCCAAACACTAATTATAGTGCATCCCCTCACATGTGACCCTAATCACCCCTTTTGCCCTCCACCCTCCCCCCTTCCCCAATGGTAACCACCAGTCCAATCTCCAATGCTATATGTATTTTTTTTTAATCTTAATGAATTTAAATAGCAACATATGATTAGTGGTACCATATGAGATACAGCAGCTGTATATGATTTGAAATTTATTAAGATTTACATTATAATGCAGCATTTGGTAAAATTTTTTAAATGGTCCATGTGTGCTTAAAAAGAAAGTTTATTCTGCAGATTTTGGGTACAGAATTATATATATATGTCCAGTAGGTCAAGTTTGTTAATCATGTTGTTTAAATTTTCTATACTATTGACTTATTTTTTTGCCTGCTTATTCTAACAGTTACTGAGAAAAGTGTATTTTAAATCTCCCACTATGATTGTGGATTGTCTATTTTTACTTGTATTTCTGTCAAATTTTGCTTTATATATTTTGAGGCAATCTACGTATAAAATTAGAAGTTATCTTACTAGCAAATTGAACCTTTTATCAATATAAAGTATCTCTCCTTACCTCTCCTAATGGTTTTTGCCTTAATGTCTACTCTGTCTGACATTATATAGCTATACCATCTTATTTTTGTACTCCTGATGTTTTCCTGTTCCAATTTTTTCTTCTTTGTCCTCCCTTCTTTTGAGCTAATTGTTTTTGTCATTCTTTTTCTTTTCTTTCCAGGAGTCTGGAAATTATATACTCTCTTTCTATTTTTTTGACTGATTACCCTAGAAATTCTGACATGTGACTTTAACTTATAAAGTCTACTGGTATGCAAGACCATACAAAGGATCTTAAAATACTTTAATTCCATTTATCTCTTTCCTGACTTATATGCTGTTGTGTTAAACTTTAATTCTGTATTTTTACCCCAAAAGACATTATTATTTTTGTTTTATAGTCAAGTTTGTTTAGATTTACTTAGATATTAGCTTCATATCTTCCAGAACCTCAAACCTGTCTGGAGTCATTTTTTCCTGCCAGAAATACATCCTTTACAATTTCCTTTAATGCAGTTTTCTACTGGTGAACTCTGATTTTATTTGTCTGAAAATGTTTTTATTTTGTCTTCATTCTTGAAGGATATTTTCACAGCCTATAGAATTTTAGGTTTCAGGGGTTTAGAATTTTAGAATTCTACTGTCTTCTAGCTTCCTTTGCTGCTGAGAGGCCAGCTGTCAGTCTGTTGGTCCTCTGAAGACAAACTGTCTTTTTCCCCTTTGGGATACTTTTAAGATGTCCTCTTTTTCTTAAATAATTTTTTTCTTACTCTGCTTGGGTTTCTTACATATGTATGTAGATATTGTCTTTCATCAGTTATGGAAAATTCTTGCCTCTGCCCCATTCCCTCTCTTCTCCTTTGGACTCTCCCTTGGATTCCCTCTTTGGACTCCATTTAAGTTAGTCTTAGGTCTTCTTAGTGAATCCTCTCTTTCTCTTACCTTCTCATCTGTGTGTGTTTTTTAAAAAATCTTTTTCTCTGGGGGCTGGCCCAGTGGGGCAGTGGTTAAGTGCACACATCCATTTCCATGGCCCGGGGTTTGCTGGTTCGGATCCCAGGTGCGGACATGGCACCGTTTGGCAAGCCATGCTGTGGTAGCCATCCCACTTATAAAGTAGAGGAAGATGGGCATGGATGTTAGCTCAGGGCCAGTCTCCCCCAGCAAAAAGAGGAGGATTGGCAGCAGATGTTAGCTCAAGGCCAATCTTCCTCAAAAAAAAAAAATCTTTTTCTCTGTCCCTACTGCATTTTGGATAACTTTCTAACCCATTGTCTAGTTTACTGATTCTCTGTTTAGCTGTGTCTAATCTGTTAAACCTATCCATTATTTTCTTAATTTTATTCATTGTATTTTTTGGTTTTAGAAGTTCCTCTTGGTTATTTTTCTAGAGTAATTGCCTTGTGGCCAGAGAACATACTATATACCAGCACACAAGGAAATAAGATCCTATGAGCAAGAACCAAAAGAAACTGACTACTGTATACAAACTGAACCAAAGACTTCAGTACCTAGAATGATCAGACAGAGAATATATTCACATAGCAGCCAAGTTTGGCATGTGGTTTCAAGCCTAAATTTTTGTCCTTTTGCTCCCTTGAACCCATAGTATTCTAAGCAGTGGACTGGTAACCGCTTTTGTCATCCTTTTGTGAGTTAGGAAGACCTTGTCACTGCCCCTGGCTTCATGCAGTGAGCCTGTTTCCCCAAGTGGCAGATAGCACTTTCAGTTCCTGTTCTCCCAAAAGGGTAAAGCACATTGCTGATCTGGAGCACAAAAGACAGACCTATAGCTTTATTCCTGCTCACTGCTTGGCATTTCTATTGTTTTTTAGTATGCAGATCTATTTTTGAGGCTGGCTGTATCTGTATTATTTTCTTTTTTTATTTTTATCACTGCTAAGTATACCGAGTACAGTGCAGTTATCAAAGAATGAATTCATTCTGCCATCTTCATCAGAACTCCTTTTCTTCCTTAATTCCCAAATTCAACAACTTTTGTATTTTATTCCAGGCATTAAATAGCTGTATCATTTCTTGATTGGCCATTGTACATGAGAATGGAAACAATGAAATAAGAGAGGAAAACATTGCCAATGAAACTATGACATAGCATCAATTGTACAATGCATCCCAATTTCAGAAAGATGTAGTCTAGAATCTGTGGTTTATAGTAATGTTCATTGCTTCTATATGCCACCCACTGTGCTACATTACTTAAGTATGATTTACACAATCTTAACTCATATAGAAAAAGTCAGCTTATATTTAGAAGTTAATATTATGGACTTTATATCACATACTTTTAAAGTACATGACTACTACATCAGTGCTCATGGACACCCCATCTTCTTCTAATCCTTAGTCAGTGGTTTAAATCAGTGCTTCTCAAACTATCCATGGTAAAAGACAAATCTAGGGTTTTTTTCCTCAACCCACTGCCACCTGATACATGGTCCTACTGTTCATGATTAGCTCACAGCTTGCACCACACGCAACTTACCATGCAAGTTTGACAATACCCAAACTGGTCTATACTCTGTTCAATGAGACAAGGCCACTGATCACATTCTTAGATGACAAATAATAAAATTATCTAAACACTCTCAATTTCTGTTTTTATCTCACACAGATTAGTAACAGTTTGTGGGCCAGCACTGACCACAGATCCCCACTTTGAGTGGTACTGATTTAAAATATCACCATCTATTCCAGTAATCAAAAGACTGGGGAAATTCAGAATTACTTGGTCATCAGAAATTTTTTTTGGAAATTCTAGGTTAAAGTAAAGGCACATCTGGTCCATTTGAGGACTCTTTGCTTCTTATAGTAATATGAATATATGTATATTCTTTTTGAACCTTTCTGGTTTGGGGCATTTCTCATTATCCCCTTACTCTGCTAGTAGCCAAAATCAGGTATTTGCAATAACTACAATCTCCATCTTCTGGCCTTGGACTGATGAGAAGCAAACGCAAAAACAACCACCAAAATTAACTGCTTTTATCTTTTTCAAGGAAATTGTTTTATTTCAAGAAAAATAGGGTTTAGCTCTTTATCTCTGACTGCTCATCAAATTATCTGAATGGCCATGCTTGAGAAAGAGAATCGGCAAGGGAATGAACTGGGGTATTAAATAACTGTTTTCACATGGCTTGATTTTTCTCCTTTCAGGTATCAATCATGGAGATCTTAACGACCATAACATTTTAATAGAGTCCAGCAAGTCAGCCTTTGGAGATGCTGTATATCAAGTGTCTGGGATTTTAGACTTTGATGACATGAGCTATGGCTACTATGCGTTTGAATTGGCAATCACCATCATGTATATGATGATTGAAAGTAAGAATCCTATACAAGTAGGAGGTCATGTCCTTGCAGGGTTTGAAAGTATAATCCCACTGACAACTGTAGAGAGAAGTGCTTTGTTTCTACTTGTATGCAGTCGTTTTTGTCAGTCACTTGTCATGGCTGCATACTCTTGCCAGCTACACCCAGAGAATGAAGAATATCTCATGATCACTGCAAAAACCGGGTGGAAACACTTACAGCAAATGTTTGACATGGGCCAGAAAACTGTAGAAGAAATCTGGTTTGAAACTGCCAAGTCCTACAAATCTGGGATCCCATGTGACTAGCTAAAAGTCTTATCTGTAAAACTGGGGTAATGATAATACCTATCTCACAGAGTTAGTTGTGAGGATTTCACAGAGAATAATGCAAAGTTCTTAGCATAGTGCTTGGCACATAGGAGACGTTTAATAAATATTTACTAAATGAATGAACCATATTCCAGGTTACCCAGACTCAAAATGTTGGAGTAATTTTTCATTTGCCTCTCTCATACTCAATCAGTGATCTGATTCTTAGGAATCAGAATTTTATAACAATAAAAGGTGGTCATAATCCTTTTCCTTCCCGCTTTAAGTTTTTAACAATTTATATTACAAACCAATATTTATTGAGCATTAAGTACTTAAAAGAAAACTCTCTCTACTCTCACAACACTTCTGATATCAAATATGTGGGGTTTTCTCTCACATTAAACAATTCTGACACTAACTACCCAGAGTTAACACAGACCTCACAGGTTAAGGGCTCAGTCCCACAAAACTGCCTCCACTTGAGACGCCTGTACTTCTGACCAACCGACTATACATTGAGGGTTCCCATGACCCCCTCCTCAGTTTGATAATTTGCTAGAACGGCTCACAGAACTCAGAGAAATACTTATGTTTATCCGTTTATGATAAAGGATATAATAAAGGATACAGATGAACAGCCAGAGAAAGAGATACACAGAGTGAGGTCCAGAAGGGTCCAGAGAACAGGAGCTTCTTTCCCCATGGAGCTGGAGTGCGCCACCCTCCTGGCATGTGGATGTGTTCACCAACCAAAAGCTCTTGAACCCACAGGCATGGTCGATTAAATCACTGGCCATCGGTGATTAAGTCAGTCCCCAGTCCCGGTCCCGTCTCTGCAGCTTGGGGGGTAGGGCTGAAAGTTCGAGCCCTCTAATCACCTGGTTGGTTCTTCTGGCAGCCAGTACTCATCCTCCAAGAGTCACCTCATTGGCATAAATTCAGGTGTGGCTGAAAGGGGCTTATTATGAATAGCAAAAGACGCTCCTCTCTCCCCTACCCCTCAGGAAATTACAAGGACTTTTTGGTTTTTAGAAGACCAAACATATATTTCTTATATTACAGTATTTCACATGCTTTAATCCCATTTAATCTCCACAACAAACCCACGAGAAAAGTAGTGTTATGATTAACCCCCATTTTCAGATGAGGAAATAGATGCTTGAAAATTGAATCAATTTGCTCAAAGAGAGCCAGGGCCAGTGCCCCATATTACTTCTCCTCCTTCTCCCCACCTGTCCCCCGAACACGTGCACGCGCACGTGCATGCACGCACATGCACACACACGCATGCACATACACACATATCTGTGTAAGTGGATCAACTGAGATCATTCACCTGAAAGCACTTATGCTTCTCAAATTTAAAGGATTATGATTTTTATCTAGCTTGACCATTCAGGAAATTGGAGAACAGAAAAATGGACGGAAAGTTGGATTTCACTCGCAGACCACAGTTCATTCTCTTAGACCATGAAACTCTATGGATTTTCCTCTTTCTTGCTCTTACTAACATGGATTCCCCTTCACTGAATTCCTAACCCAAATATTGCATTATTTCAATATTTAAATATGTGCTGCCTTGCATTGATATTTTATGATTTGGTGTTTGTCCTAGCTTATCTCAAATCAATCAGTTCCATGCAGTTTATAAACTCTTTGACGACATAAATTGAATAATATTTATTTGATATTATCTTCAGGACCTAGCTCTGTGCCAGGTCCCTAGCAGACCCTTAATAAATATGTGTTGGATGAACTATAAGAAGGAATGCACTTCTACAAGTGCCAGTCCCTGTCCTTGCAACTAATGAGGAGTGTCAAATGACAAAATTAAAACAATTTAGTAAGGAGTTGGATGTCCTTTATTCAAGGGAAAAGTCTATGGACTTAGGGAGTACACTGCCTCGCAAGCAGTGGAGTATTCTACCCAAGGGATTTGGGGCAAGATGAGTTTTATAGAGTGTTAGAAGCAGCAACACAGAGACAGGGCATGATTGCCTGGGGTTGTAAATCTGACCTTATTTAGAAAAATTAAGGAAATAAATACAGAGCCCAGACTTGACTTGGCATTTGGGGATTAGATGACTGGATATACTGTGTTTCTGGTCAGTTGGAGCATTTACAGGAATATGAAAGTTTGGTTTGCTGATGTAGCACCCTGGGTAGAAGCAGCTCCATCTTGGGCTTAGAAATTTATTTCAACAGGAGAAAACCCAGTTCTAGATTTTGGAATCACCACCATAAGTCTGGCAAAGACTCTGCTCTTGCAAGTATCTTTTTCTGTCCAGGCTTTTATCCCCTCTAGACTGCAACAGAACTTTACCTTCTGGTCTTCTTATCCTTAGTCTTTCCAACCTACATCCTTCCTATTAGAGGCAGATAAAAACTCTATTTACATATATTGCTAGCACAATGTGACAATTTAACCAAAAACATAATGGCTTAAAAACTTCAAACAATCATTTTATTATCTCATGGTTTCTATGAGTCATGAATTTACACAGGCCTTGGGACAACCCACCTCCACATCACATGCCTGGGGCCTCAGGTAGTAAGATTTGAATGCTGGGGGAGATTTTATGGTTGGGAGACTCAGTGTCTGGGGACTAGAACCATATGGAGGAATCTTCACTCACGTATCTGGCAGGTGATGCTGGGACCTCATCCAGGCTGTTGGCCAAACAGATCTCCATGTGGTCTCTACTCCCTCACAGCAAAGTGCCCGGGTTCTAAGAACAACCATCCAAGAGGACAAGACAGAATTATATCATCTTTTATGACCTACCTTTGGATGTCACATGATGTCACTTCAGTTGTAGCAACAGGCCCACCCAGATTCAGGGCAAGAGGACACATAACCTGTCAATGAGAAGCATCCATGCGACATTGTAAGAGGAACATGCAGGATGGGAGAGTGTGAGGCCTCATCATCCTAAAACATCACTTTAATCTTCCCTTCCCATTACCTACAGGCAAAAAATTCTGGCATTGAAGGTGCTCAATAATTTGGCCTCAAATGCCTTTCCTCCTCTACTTCCTATATTGTCTCCTCCAATCTGGCCAGACTGAACTACTCTGCCACCCAAACTTATCAAACTTCATTCTTTCTTCCCTTTTATCTCAACTGATCCCTACTCTATTGACCTAAGAAATTTTACCTCTCACTTAAAACTCCTAATGTGGAGTGACGTCAGCATCCCGGTGGAGGGAAGTCTCACAGAAATCTTCCGCCTCCAATACACAACAACAAAAAAATCCATACTCCAACAGAGGACATCAAAACTCAACACAAAAAACGTCAGAGAGATCCATGCAGCCATACGACAGACAGACGTTGGAGAGGCTGGGGCCCCCCTCAGAGCTGGAATGGGTTAAGAGAAATCTTCACTGGCTCCCCTAAAGACTGCCATCAGGACCACAGGAGGCCTGCTGGAGGGAAGGAATGGGGGAGGGGACGTTCATTCACAGGAACACCAAGGACTCCCTAGGGCCCTTGCAGCCTAGAGAAGTGAAAGCCTTCATGGGGAGGAGGGTGGAGGAGGAAGGAGGTGGAGGAGGGAGGGGTGACCTCATCAAGCCAACACCCCAGGAGAGCAGAGGGAGAAAACCCAGAGAGAACACGCAGGAGAAAGCACCCCTTCCCACACATGCTCAGCAGGGCTCCAGCCCCTTGGATTTCGGCTGAAGGCAGAGGGCTCAGAACACAGAGCTCTTGACCCCCACCCAGTGGCAACAGGTGGTAACTGCAACATAATAACACCAGAATGTGAAAAAAAAGAGCCTCTTGCAATATCAAACACTATATTAGATCTCCAGACCAGAAAGAAAATGACAAGTACCCAGAAATCAGTCCTGAGGATGCAGAAATACGTAATCTAAGTGACAAAGAGTTCAAAGCAGCTATCAACAAAAAACTCAATGAGGTAAAAGAGAATGTAGAGAAAAATTCAATGATTTCAGGAGCTACTTCACAAAAGAGATTGAAACTATAAAGAAGAATCAATCAGAAATATTAGAGATGAAAGACACAATGGAAGAAGGAAAACAAAATATGGATTCCCTGAATGCTCGAGCAGACACCATAGAGGAGCGAATCAGCATAACTGAAGACAGACATGTTGAAATGGTCCAGACAGAGGAGGAGAGACAACTTAGACTAAAAAGAAATGAAGAAAGTCTCCAAGAAATATACAACTCAATTAGGAAATGCAACATAAGAATTATAGGTATTCAAGAGGGAGAAGAAAAGGAGAATGGAGTAGAGAGCTTGGTCAAAGAAATAATAGCAGGGAACTTCCCAAACCTAGGGAAGGAAATCCATGTGGAAGAGGCTGTCAGATCTCCTAAATATGTCAATGTAAGGCATACTACTGCAAGGCATATAGTAGTGAAACTGGCAAAACCGAATGACAAAGAAAGAATACTAAGGGCAGCGAGGCAGAAGAAAATAACCTACAAAGGAACCCCCATCAGGCTTTCAATGGATTTCTCTGCAGAAACCTTACAGTCTAGGAGAGACTAGAATGACATATTCAAATCATTGAAGGACAAAAACAGTCAGCCAACAATACTCTATCCAGTGAAAACATCCTTCAGATATGATGGAGAAATAAAAACTTTCCCAGACAAACATAAGCTAAGGGAGTTTGTAGCCATGAGACCCACACACACACACCAGAAATCCTCAAGAAGGCCCTCATACCTAAAAAATAGTTGGGGGGGATAACAAAGCACAGAGTAATGAGTTAAATTGGCAGACAGAATCAGAGCAGGATAGCAAATACTCAAGTACAGCATTAAAGACAAAGGGAAGGACAACACCAAAAACAAAGATAATTTTGTCATTTTAACCTCAAACTCATAACACAGGATGGAATAGGATGTGAGAAAAACAACTTACGAGGGGAAGAGGAAAGGGACTCAATCAGTTTAGTCTAAGGAAATTAGAAGCCATCAGAAATGGGACTATCTTGTCCACGAGATCTTGAATACAAACCTCAGGGTAACCACTAAACAAAAAATCAGAACAGAGACACAAATAATAAATAAGAAGAAAAAGAAACACAACATAAAAAACTACATAACTCAATTGGTAGACCAAAATACACAGGACGAGAAACAAAGGAAATGCAGGAGAACCAGAAAATGAGTGATAAAATGGCAGAATTAAGCCCTCATATATCTATAATCACCCTAAACATAAATGGATTGGCTTCTCCAATAAAAAGAAAGAGTGGTGAGATGGATTAAAGAACAAGACCCAACAATAT